CAATCAATCAATCAATCAATCAATCAATCAATCAATCAATCAATCAATCAACCAACCAACCAATCAATCAATCAATCAATCAATCAATCAATCAATCAATATAGCTTATAAAGCGCTATTTCCGCGATGTTCAACAATGAATTTTGAAAACAGATGGGTCTTGAGATCCGCTCTGAACTTCGTAAGTGATGGAGAAGTAGTCAGAGAAGTAGGTAGAGAGTTCCAGAGAAAAGGACGGTGACGGTGTAGAACTGAAAAAAGCAGAATAGCTCCTATTAGAAAGGAAATTTATTTTAATATCGCAGTATTGTCAGGTAGAGAAAGAGATACTAAATTATTTGAATGTGAGAAGTGCTTAAAAGTTTCAAAAGCTTTAGAAAAGTCGAAAGCAATAACATGAATATGATTATTATTTTTTAAAAAAGATGCTATCACAGAAGTAAGAGACATGATGGCAGATGTAGATGAACTTGTAGGGCGATATGCAAAAGAAGTGGTTTGATAGGCAATGATTGAAATATGGATATATGAATGATATCATTATTTGTTATTAAAAGTGTAATTTTTTATGATTTGATGCGTTGTCCACATTTTAAGGCAAAAAAAGTTCTAAGAAAGTGTTTTATGGAGAACTGTGCAAAGAAAAAAGAAAATTGTTAAGTGAAAGAGGGCATTATAAGAGCATAAAGATATTTCTCAAAAAATGCAAATTGACAACAAAAGATGGAAAATATAAATTTGTGATCACTCATTTTTAAGTTTTATTTTGAAAAATTTTGAAATATCCGACAAATGTAAAATCATACTAACAGTATGAAAGATAAAACAGCGACACCCCACACATCTGCGGCAACTCCAACCTTTTCATTGCATACTTTTTCAGGGGCTGTCAAGTTTAAAAATTTATTACCTCAAAACAATAATGGTACAAAATTTTAAAACCATATCAAAACTTTTAACAAATTGTATTCAAATAAAATGTCCAGCACAGAAAATGAGTTTTATAGAAATTTATAGAATGCATGCAAGACTTTGAATGAAAAAACTTACCCGTGCATAAAAACACTATACAACGCTACACCCCGTTCAAAAACATAGTATACATAACAAACCCATAAATTCTGGAGCTCCGACTCTTTCGACAAATTCTCCAGAAGAGGTTGTGACCTTGTGAGCCAAAGAAAAGTCTGTAAGTTTAATATCAAACCTTCTCCTGCTTTGCATTATTACATTGTTTGGACTGATGTTTAGATGGACAATTCCTCGGTGGTGTAAATACTGAACACCATCTAATACCTGAAAAATTAATAAAGCATTAAAATTTCTATTGTGTTAGATGCTGCGGAAAAAGTTAAAATATATATTACACACACATAAACACGCACAACCCACAACATCTCTTACACCAACCTCAACTGCATACAACAAACACCTTAATCCACTTCGTTTTATTTCACTAACTAAATCTTCATACTCGGTTGTTTTTATAGCATGATTTGCTGCTATATTGGCCTCATACGGTACAGTCAGTTCAACCGAAATAACAGTGTCTGCTGATAACGACTGTAAAACCACGTCAGATCTTGCTCTTCTACCCTTTATGAATGATGACGCCATCCAAATCTGTCACGAAACCTTGCCTTTAAATATGGATAACGCATGAGTTTCACTAGTATTTTTAATACTTTGTTATGCCTTCACATATAACATCCATGACTGAATGCGTACTTGCAAGAAGCCATTACGTGGGCCACTGTGTCCGTTTCTTTACATAAGCTACACTTAGATTCTTTTGGCACCTTCCATCTAACAAGATTTGTTCCTGATGTTAGATTATCATACATGGTTTTTATAATAAACGTCAGTCTTAATGGAGCCATGTTTAGCATATTATCATTTAGATTATGTAGATTGTTCTGATTACCCCAGTTCTCCACCATATTATGTCGAGTGTTGTTGTGATGTTCCTACACCATATTATTTAGATTGTCGTGTTATGTTGACGCTGTGTTACACGGACGGTGTTATGCTAACTAGACAGTGCTTATTTTAGTTAGGGCGTCGAACATCGCATCTACATCTGAAGTTAAGAAACTAACGGATCGCTGGTTTGATGCTTACGTATAAACTCGATTGTTAATTAAACAAGTTACAAAATTATGACAATTTAAATTGGCGACTTATGCTATTTTACTATTAGGTTGGTTACGTTAATTAGAAATATTTATGTTATAATAAATTAAACACGAAGTCACCCATTTTAGTTGATAAATCTTTATTGAAGTATAACAACAAAATCAATATGCTAGAGGCTTGTAAGTTGTGTGAGTCTAGCTAGCGTATGCTCATGGTGCATGTGCATTGACCTACTAAATTCGTCGACGCTTTTGTGGCAAATCAATTGCATGCCAATTATAATTTATAATTTAATCGTATCTATTACAATTTATAATTTAATATGATTGTGCGTGTCTGCGAGCTTGCATGTGTTAGTCCGTGTATGGCCGTGTGTTAATTGATATAATAATATCATTCCACGTTAAATTCTACTGAAGCAAACTTTCTCTCGTTGTCCATTTGTCTTGTTGATTTTGTTTCATGTCATATTTTTCCTTTCTTTACCCTTACTTTAGTCAATGCCTTTGACCACTACGTGTTTGAAAATCAGCCCATACCATGTTCAGTATTTTGAACGGCTCCCACTATCTCATTAAACTTTAATGCATCTTCCGAAATTTATTTTTTTTCTCCGCGTTCCACTTTCTTTCTGTTTTCAATGATGGCTTCACTTTTTTCACACAATCGTCAGCTGAGTTGTTCAAGATTCATCGACACCTAATATTTGCGATCTTAATTTTTTCCATCAGAGACTTCAGAGGGAGTCTTAGTAGCATGTTTCTACTGTATAACGCTAACGAAGTCAGACCTGGAAAAAGTCCAAACCACTTACGGGTGTACCGGTAGATTTTTTTCAAGGCTCTCTACTATGGGTAAGTTGACTTCATCAACTTTAAGAGGCTCTAGAAAATTTGGTACTACCACAAACTGCATCAACCATACTTTGAATTTGCTTTGAAATTCTACTTTGTTGACAATTTCAAATTATTTTGAGCAATTTTCATATTTCATCAACGTCTTTCAGATTAGCAGGATGCCATCTGTTCAAACTTTTTACCGCCCTACTCGGTAAATTTCAGTGCATTTGGAATGCAGCATTGGAATCACATTACCGGAAATTGTAAAATTCGTGTAGGGATCAAGTTTTTTTAGTTAGAGACAAATTTATAAATTTCCTATTTGAATCTCATTTAGCTCCAACACATCAACTCTACAGCTATTTTATCGGTTGGAGGTAGGTAGGATCTGAGTTTGTCAGCACCATGGTGTTATTCATGAAAGCCTCTAGTGACGACGTGTAAACTCCTATTCCAAGTGAGACTTTTGTACCACCAGTTGCGTCAAGCAAAATTTCAAACTTTTAAATCCACCCATTTGGTCGCAAATTCCTTTGTTGTGAAATATATCTTAAAATCTTTCAAGATTTCTGTTACCTTGGCAGGCATAGGAAACATTTCCAGTGATTTCTACAGAAGACTATGTGGCACAGCTCCATAGGCAATTGCCAAACTACATGAAGAATCAACCTATTACTTTTAGCTCTTTAAATCGCCTCTCAAATTGTTGCGATGTGTTCGATATAGCCGGGGACCCTGGGAAACCGCCTTTCTGCACCTATGTTACGACATATTTGTTTTTCTTTATAAACACATCTGCAATTTTTAGGTTATATAAATTGTTTATATAAATAACTAACACAATAATATACACAATAAATATACATAGAATTAATTAGACAAAATTAAACATCGCGCCAGATCACCAGCCAGATCTGTACAGAGAAACTGTTTGATGTCAAATTTTACTCAAATGACTATTACAGATTTTTGCCACTGACTTAATATGATTTGAAAAAACCAGTTTTTTTTTATCCCAGAATCAGTCCAAGTTTCTTTGGCGTACCAGATATTGAAACAGAGGATCGCCTTGTTAAATTGTTGTTGAGTTGTTAAATTTATTTATTGAATGGAAAAACTCTAGTAGTGAAGAGCTCAGTTTTTTTAAAGTTGAATTGTAGACAATTATGTAAGAACCATTCTTTCATTGATGCGATGCATGTGGAAAGGATGTTGATGTTTGAAGAAAGATCTTTATATTATCTAAAGATATAAAAAGATAAGTACCATCGGCTTATTCATAGCGTAAATTATGATTTTGCCGATTGGCAAAATGTGTGCTGTGAATAAAAGTGGTCCTACTACTGAACGTTGTGGTGCACTACTTCATATGAGCTAAAATGATGATTGTGATTTTAAATAGAGGATAGGGATAGAATCACATACATTAGCAAAATGTTCGAGCTGTTATCTAATCTTATGATGGATGTTGTTGATCTTGCCTATAAAATAATCATTAAAGGATTAAAGAAATTAACTAATATTGATATAAAAAAATCACTGAAAAACGATTGTTTTTTTTATTAAATTACAGTAGTTTTTGAGGTTTCGCCAAGTTGAGCGCGGATTTTTAATCGAGTTTAGTTCGTTCAATTCATGACTTAAAAATTGCAGGCCGCTTTCTTAACTTCGTCGTAAGCTATTTTATATGACACTAATTTATCATTAAAATAGATATGTTCCATTTCGTGCCTTAATCTTTTGGATATCCGGACATCTCTAAAATAGAAGTTTTTTGATTCTGGGTTTTTGCGCAATAAAAAAGTGTCTATTCTATAATAATAATTTTGTATATGTTCCATTAAGCTATTGAAAGCCATCATTATTATACCGTCTCTTGGTTACGCCTCAATTTAAAAAAATCTCACATTACATAAAGACTTTGAATATAAATATTTTAAATGGTCAAAAATTATATTCATAAATAAAAACGCTTGTCTTCATCAAAAATTAATAAAGGAAATATAAAAATCATCATTCTAACTTGTTTGATAATAGTTGTAACTGTGTGTTCATCGTATTTGTTCTTAAATGACAACGATCTAACAACGTTCTCCCCATAAAGTTTTTCAAACGCTAACACAATGCATTCTTTCCAAACAAAAGCGGCTACCATTTGCGTTATGCGTTCCTGGTTGACCATCTTCAACATATCGTATTCTCGCAAACATTCACCGGGACTTAATTTGTTGTACTCCGTTATCTGTATCAAGTTAAAAAATGGTTTAAGTGATTGTTTAACTATTACATAATTCATAACATATACGCATTAAAGTGGTCACAAAAATAAATGTTTGCAATCTTAATGGAGGAAATAGTGCCATTGGTTAAAAAAATGATATTTGTGGAGATAGCTCAATTGCCTCATGAGGTTGAAATCTTGAAAATTTAAAAAAATAATATTTTGTTTGTAAAGAAAAATAAATGGTCTATCCTAGAAACTTAATTTCTGTTTCATATTGTTCATCTGTTCATTCTCATCCCATCAACTTTATTTAGCTACGACCTATAGTTTCTGAGATATTTACATTTTTACACATATGCTGTAGAAAAAGTTATTCTTGTATTACGTAAAAATGCATAATAATTTGAATACCATTAAAGATAAACTTTTAAAATTAAACTAATTGTATTTTTTGTTAATTAGTTTTGACAAAGTAGTTAACTTTTAGCAATCATATCACATGAATTTTATTAATTTAATTAATTTTTTATAATCTTTTGTTGCTTGTTTATTGTGATTTATTTTACCTAAATCTGCTAAGATCCTATGTTCGGATAAAAATATAAATCCAATAACATTGGTTTTATGCATCTAACAATCCAGCATATAAAAAATGACTTCAAAGAATTGATAGATGTTTGATAGTGTTGGATGCTTTATTTTAAGGAACATTATGTTTGCAACTCCTGGTGCTCAGCATCAAGTAAGGTGGATGACGAAGACATTGATTAAAAATAAACTTTTTCAAAAAACAATTCAATTATATAGATTTAGAAAAAAATGGTTCAACGATAATTATTTATATATCCCAAACATTTAAGTGAACCGGGGTGTTCCGAAATCAGCATTTGCCCACACAAAATAGATATTCACAGTTGGTGAAAATTTTTTATAAACAGATATCAGTATATTTGCAAAAATCATCAACCATCTTGTCATTTTTTAGCTAATTCGAACCATGCCATCGCGTAAGAGTAATGGACTAACTCTGTGACAAATTAATGACGGTCGTTATCTATAAAATTGGTGAGTTAAAAAAAATGTTGTTAGTATCAATAAAAAGGTATGAAATTTACAAGTCGTTTGAGTATAAAGTAAAGTAACACTCCTAGGAAGAGGTGGGGTTTTAAGATTTTATTACAGAGTGCTACAGAAGGGTAATAATGGAGTTCAAATTTTGTTACGTAAATTTTTACATAAAAACTATGACTTTTTTACAATTAGCCCTTTACATTTTTAGTTATTTACATAAATAAAATCAACAAGTTTTAGTGTAGTTTAAATTAAAAAAATAAATAGAAAAATGAATGTCATTAAAATTAAAGTTTATTATGGTGCTTGATAAAGTATTAAAAAATGTATTTTTGTTTGAGACAATTTTTTGTGACGTAATAGAAGCTTAAGTCGCTTTTTACAGATAAAAAGTATTACGATAGGGAGGAAGTGGCCAAAAAAGCCGTTTTTTCATGTAAAAAATTACATATAATAAAAATTAAATAAAAGACAACAATTAAACACGATCACCTTTACAACAATTTGTTTTGAGGTACAGCCTGGAATATTTAGCTCAGCATTCATCAGCAATGAAAACTGCCCTCTTATTAAAATAAAAGTTAAACAAGTGAATTTATTCAATTGATGTATAAATAAAATAATGAGATAAATCTTTAGCAATCTTTTGTCATAGCAATGTAACTGGATTAACTTAAACAAACCTGCAGATTTCATTTCCAAAGGATATAATTTCTCTGGGATCAACGTTTTCTTGTAATTTTATTACATTTTCATCCACTGTTATCTCACTAAATTCGGTTGCTTTTTATTTTAGTAAGAAATATAAATTTTTATATAAAATATTGAATTTATAGGAATTTATGAATTTTTTAATTCATAAAATTTGTTTTTATCTGTGTTAGAAGTTATGAATTTGTCTCACCACATTCTATATTTTGATTCGAAAAACATTCGTTTGAAAAATCATTGTTTTCTTCTTTGCTCGTAAGAAAAAATGACCTTGCGCTCTCAGACGATTTGCTGTTTGTATGAAGCTTTGCAATTGGTTGATTACTTGCACAAGGAGGAGGAGTGTGTTCAGGAGAAGGTCTCGTAGCTGCTTGTCGTGATCTCAAAAGAATCTTTTTGGTCTCCTCATCGATGTTGAGGGAACATGTCCCTGTCAAAAACCATCAACGTTGAAAAATAATAATTTAAATCAATAAAATTATTGTTTTATTGAATCAATGTAAATAAAAATGTGGAATAGTTGTGTTAGCTAATTTAAAACATATTTTTATAAATCATCATCAACCTTTCTTTTTCGTCTTGATTTCAACGGAAGCCCAGCTGTAGGGACTCTGACCGAACTGATTAATGGCACTGATCCTGAATCTGTATGATGTTTCGGGTTTCAAATTTTTAACTATGACGCATTCATCAATCGAATATGTAGCTGTTGTCCATCTGTGGTCACCTAAACGTGGTAATTTAATAAAATATTAAGCATCGTTTTATTGCTGTAAAAACCAATTTTAAAACGATGTTAAAAACACCAAGTGATAGCCTACAGTAATAATAACAAAATTAAACAGTTAATCACCAGGTCTAAACCAGTCAACTTTATATGCCTGGATGTAGCTGTTACCGTCGGATTCTGGAGATTCCCATATCATAAAAACTTCTTTGTCCGAAACTTGAGTTACATGGGGTCTGCCTGGTCTGCTTGGTTGACCTTTCAAAAAAATTAATTTCATTAATTTTATTCAATTCATATATATGCCATAAAACAGCGCGATAGCCATGAAAGCTAAACATTTTATATGTTAGTTAGATTATTTATTGTCTATCAATGATTCTGAAGTAGTTAATACACAGTCGGTCGGTCGGTCGGTCGGTCGGTCGGTCGGTCGGTCAGTCAGTCAGTCAGTCAGTTAGTCAGTCAGTCAGTCAGTCAAACCATCCAACAAACCAACCAACCAACCAACCAGCCAGCCAGCCAGCCAGCCAGCCAGCCAGCCAGCCAACCAACCAACCAACCAACCAACCAACCAACCAACCAACCAACCAACCAACCAACCAACCAACCAACCAACCAATCAATCAATCAATCAATCAATCAATCAATCAATCAATCAATCAATCAATCAATCAATCAATCAATCAATCAATCAATCAATCAATCAATCAATCAATCAATCAATTAGCTTATAAAGCGCTATTTCCGCGATGTTCAACAGCGCTCCTCAATGAATTTTGAAAACAAATGGGTCTTGAAATTTGCTCTGAACTTCATTAGTGATGGAGAAATAGTCAGAGAAGTAGGTAGAGTGTTCCAGAAAAAAAGAGCCAGAAAAAGCAAAAACAGATTTAGCAAAAGAGCGTATAACACTAGTTAAGAAAAAGTGAGAACAAGAAGACTATCGTAAACCGGAGTGTTTAGGTTCAATTAATATATCTGATAAGTACTTAGAAAATAATTTAGATTATGTCTTATAATTAAATGTGCAAATTTTAAAAATTATCATAATTTAAGAACTGAAAATTATGTTGACAAAATAATAATTTTTCTGCATAGTCTGCTTCAAAATTACTTCACTGAGAATTGTATAGTAATATTGCAATACTGAAATGTTGGCGGTGGAGCAAGATATATGTTGATATACAGGACAATTTTAAAAACTGGTTTTGATGAATTCTCCACCTAAAAACAGGTGATTCATTTCTATCCAACATTCTTTATTAAGATAATACTTAATCTGGTGTTTAATTTCTGATGTTTCAAATTCAAAAACTATAACAAGTAAAATAAATTTTTCTTCAATAATAATCAATTATAGTTTAGGAAACAAAATAACTTATGGCTAAAACGGAAATAGTAATATTCGGCTATTTGGCTCTTAGAATGACAAAAACTGAACCCTAAATGTTGCCCAATTCGGTCAAGTCAAATAATGTTGAATGAGAACTCGACGCCATTGAACAGAATTTCAAAATAAATTAACAAACAATAATTCTTTATTAAAACACCTGCCGTAGGTTATTTAAGGATGGAATGAAAGATTAGTAAATGTTAATATGAAAAATTAAATGCTTAACTAACTTCCACAAAGCATTCGAGCCCGACATGTAACAGTGCCATACTTGTTCCTAGCAACACATTTATAGACCCCAAAGTCATTCGGCTTAGTTTGCAGGATAGTTAATGAGTATTTTCCTCTACCAACATCTTTTTCGATCTTCACCCTGCCTCCTTCACTTAGTAGTTCGTCATTTCGAAACCAGGTGATCAGCGGATTAGGGCTGGCAACAACAGTAGCTTTCAATGTACAACTCTCACCCACGTTGTATGCCTTGTCACGAATCTTTTCGTTGAATATCGGTGGATAACCTGGTGAATAAGCAACATGACATTAACAATGATGATGATAATAATAATAGTACCACCATAATCCCTACAATATTTCCTATCCAACTAACTCAATTAAAACTGAATAATTCAAAACAAAACCGAAGATACGTAAAAAAATTAGAAAATTGATAATAACTTGACGTTATAATAATAATAATAATAATAATCCAAAAAGTTCAAAATTAAATCCAAAGTTCAAGATAATGAATTATACAAATAAAAGAGTGAAGATATTAAAAATAATGATAAAATAGGTAATTAAATTTAATTATAAATAAAAAATAAAAATTAAGATAATAACACTTTAATTATTCATCTCTGTTCAAAATAAAATAAAAACAATGACGAAAAAATGCAAAGAGAAAAAAGGATTTAAAATGGAAATGTAATAAAATAAAAACATGTAATTAAATAAAATGTTGAATAAATTAATTTACGATGCTTGTCATTCATAGTGAACGAGTACGGCGAGAGTTAATAGTTTTAAAATTAATTTCAAACAGCTTTTCAATCACAATAAATAGAGTACCAAGACGGCACTGCATAAAAAATTAGCTTATTTGTTGCGTTGCACCAAGCCCAATTTACATCGATAAGCTTCTGTGCACTTTTGGTGCTGTTGGCGATGATTGCTGTGTCGTCAGTAAATTGCAGCCATGCTCTTGTTTTAAGGCTTGCTGTTGGGCCTTATATACAGCCACATTGTTGAAACTCAGTTTCTTTCTGTTTTTTCATTAAGGGGTTGAAGAAGCAGAAGTTTAAAAGCAATGGGGAAACAAGATCGTCTTGAAGCACACCTCATTTGACCAGGATGAGTAGAGTCAACTGATCGCAACCGAAAACTGTAATAATGTAGTCGGCTTATAAAAATTTAATTAAATAATTGATTTAAAGTGAAATATGATGGTGATATATGATTGATGAGATTAGGCCGTAAATGTCTTTTTGCATCGTTGATCATGTGAGTTAAGGGCTGTGTCTCCAGTCAGGCCATCTACTTTTGGGTAGAATCCTTTTTGTATGTTTTTGTTGATCCTGTTGTCTGATTCGAAATAACTGTATATTTTGTTGTTGATAAGTGAAAAAAATATTTTGTAGAGCGTTGGTTGCAGTTTTATGGGTCTGAAGTTGGCTGGATCTTGAGCATCTTCTTTTTTGTAAATTAATATTGTGAAACCATTTTCCAGTCTGAAGAGATTTTGGAGAATACCCACCCAGCATTGTGTTAGTAGTTGATGCAAAATGGTAAGCAATATTGGGCATATTTTGAAAGAGATAATTGAGATCTTGTCAAGCGAGCAGGGTGATAATTTAAATTTGTGTTTGTAGACTATTGTTAAAATTTCTTGGTAGGAAAATGTACTAATATTGAAGGGCGTAGCTAACGATTAACATCTTTGGATCCATTCAGAAAGCTGATGTTTTTTGTCAGGATTTGAGTCGTTTAGCATATTTGTGAAGTTTTTGTAGCAATCGTCAACGTTAAATGTTCTCATTTTCTTTGTTGTGGCAGATATTATTTAGCATGACCACCAAAATCCGAGCTGTCCAAGCAGCTGAGCTGTGATGTCTGATTTTTTTTGTCTGCACGTTTTGAACGTAAAGTTTAGCTTATGTCGATGATTTAATTGTTAAAATAGTGGTTATTGTTGCCGAGTTTTTTTTAATGTTTAATTTCTTTTTTTAGATTTTTTTAGATGTTTTTGTTTGTGACGTTGTTTTGGTCAGTGTATGTTTTTATAGTGCCGTAATTTTGATCAAAATAATTGTATATCATCTCCTGAAAATTGTTTGTAAATTCGTCTATGTTTGCAGCAGTTAGCATTGTAACTTGAAGAAGGTGTTGGCTTCGGACCATTGGGTTGGCGTTCTTGGCAATTTGACGCCAGCATGAGATGATTCCGTTGTTACAACCGCTGACGATGACGACGACGGCGGCGACGATTGGTGGTTTAGAGTAAAAATTATTTCAACTGACGAAGTTGGTCATGATGTGATATCTCCGTTGTTGTCTGTTGAGTCCTGAGATAATTGGAGCGTTTTGTTTATTTTGCTCGAGAGCTGGTGCATAGTACATCGCCAGAAGTGTCTATTAACGTTAATGAATATTTTATTGCAGTACGGACATTTATTTGTATTTACACAATATATTCCGTTAATTAAGAAAATTAAAATTAAATAAAAAGGACAAATTTTAAAAATTTCGCCATAATCTGCCAAATCAATCATATTCAGAGAACCGATTTTAAAACAAATAAAAAAAGGATTACGTATAAAAAACGATGAGTTGTACGAAATTTACCAATTCTTTTGCAATACATACATACATAATAATAATGATGATATTAATTATAAAATAATAATGAAAAATTGTATTAATGACGATGATGACAGATAATAAATAATAGACTTAGTCAAATTATTGAGCTTAGAGCTATTAAATAATTCTTTATGGACGTTTGCAAATGGGTTGAATATTAACACTTCCAAAACCAAATGTATGCTCTGCGGCCCAAAACCTTCACATATTAGAAATTATTTCAAATGGTGTCCAGATGATAACAATTGTTGAAATGTTAATATCAAACCCATTTGAAAACGTCCATGTTGACACCATAAAATTCTTAAGAATGACGGTCTTCAGTAGCCTATATATAAAAAATTAATATATATGCGATCATCTATGGATATTTTGGTTTAAAGTTGTTTTGTATTTTTTTTTGTTAACATGGTGCTATGATGTTCCTTGTTGACATTTATTTAATAATTTATTTCAGTAAATGTTTTTAATTTTTATTTTATTGGTATATTTTGGTATAAATTTTGTTGATATAACTCAAAAACGCTAATACCTGTCAGAAAAATCCCAGTCCAGGCACCCCGACGCACCAGCCCAGTTCATCAATTTTACAGCATTAAGAATAAGAAATACATAACATTTTCATCGACTTTATCCCGATCGACGTATCCAAAAGTAAAAACATGCGTTTTGTTAAATTTTGCAATTTAGATAATTCTGGAGAAGTTTATTTTTATAAAATAACTTTATTTTAAATTTAAATTAATTTCTCATATTTTACTCTATAAATATTCGTATATTTCATTATATTTATTTTTATATAATTTATATACTGTATTGTATCGATTTAACGGGTTTTTATTTAAACAATATTCGTATTTAATTTTCAACTTTGTCTATTTAATGTTGTTTTAATACTGACTAATTAATACAATTTATTTATTATATTTTTTTTATTCTGTTTAATAATAGAATTTTTTAATTCTTGAATATTATATATTAGGAAGTTATTAAAAAAACATTATTATTAATATTATTTTATATATTTTCAAATTTCATAGTTTAAATTGTATGTATATTGCATTAAATTAGTGTTTATTTATTTTTTAATTTTTCAATATTATTATTTTCTTGAATATCCATGTATGTTCAATCCTGTTCATTCTATAATTTTATTATATTGGCTTATTTTCTCAAATAATAACTATTTTGATTTTCATGCATTATTATTTCTGAATTATTTTTAATTATTATACATTAACTTCATATATTTTATATTTATTTATCCATTTTTATTGATTTGTTTGACTCAATTATTTATCTTATATAATTTTATTTGTCATGACCCATCTCATATAGAAGTAGAATAGTTAACAGCAAATAATGGCAACCTACTGTCAACAACTTTAGCCAAGAAAACCATCGACAAACACAGACCAAATCGAAAAACTTGATAGTGACAAGTTGAATACACCTTTTACTGGCAACATGGAACGTTAGAACGTTGTACCAGACTGGAAAATTTGAAAACGTAAAACAAGAAATGAATAAAATTTAGCATTCTAGGTTTGAGCAAAACTCGGTGGAAGAAATCTGGTGTCATTACCTTTGAAGAAGACAAATTTATCTATTCTGGAGGTGATTCACACAAACAAAGAGTAGGTGTACTATCAAAAAAAATGTCTAAAAATTTAGAAAATTTTTGGGCGGTGTCAAATAGAGTTTTGTTGGTCAGAATACACGCAAAACCTTTCAACCTACCTGTTATTCAAGTATATGCGCCAACGTCTGAAAGCAGTGAAGGCCTTGATGCTTTTTACAGTGATCTTGATAATGCTTTAAAAACATATAAATCTCAAAAAATTGTTATCATGATGGGTGACTTGAATGCAAAGTTGGCTCAGAAAAAATACAGGACTTGGTTGGTCCTCATGGAATAAGTGAAAAAAATGAAAGAAGAGAAAAGTTGATTGAATGATGTGTCACAAATGATAACATTTTTACCTAAACCTAGTTTGACAATCACCCAAACAGAAAATATACTTGGAAGAGCCCCGGAGACAAGGTAAGAAATATGATTGATTACATTACAATAAATAGACGATTTCAAAATGCTGTTTTACAATGTAAAAAGTTACTATGGAGGTGATTGTGGCAGTAATCATAGCTCAGTTGTTTGTAAAATCAGGATAAAGTTGAAGAAAATCATGAGTGAAGTGGCCCCAAAACGTTTGAATTTTGTCAGTCTGTCTCAAAATGATGAGATCAAGGTCAAATATAACGTCGAAGTACGAAATCGTTTCCAGTTATTGACGGAAGACGTAAATAAATCCGAATATAAAATTTTTAGAAATGCCCACACAGTATAATCAAGTATATATCTGTGAATGAGCAAAGAAGAGGTCATAAATGGAAAACAGATGACATCGTATCTCTGATGGATAAACGAAGGAAAGTAAAAGGTTGCAGTCCTAATAGTTACAAAAAGCTGGACAAAACAATAAAAAAAATGTGCTTTGAGGCAAAGAAGAAATGGTTAAATGACAAGTGCGAAATCATTGAAAACCAAAAACAATAATACAAATGCAACGTATAAAAACAACTAAGAAATCACTGAAAAAGGGCTTGTGCTGTTTCTGGATGCATAACAAGCTAAATCCGGTGAAGTAATCTTAGAGAAAGAAAAAGTACCTGAAAGATGGACTGAATACATTAACGATCTTTTTGATGATATCTGTGGTAAAAAACCTCCTATTAATAAGAACATAAAAGGACCAAAGATACTTAGATCTGAAGTTCGTGCCGCTCTTTCCAAAAGGAAATTAAATAAAGCGCCAGGTCCAGATTAGATAGTTGTTAAAGAAAATAAACGCCTTGATGAATTTGGCATTGACAAAGTGACAGAAATTTTAAATGAGATTTATAACAGCGGCAAAATACCTAAAGATCTATCCGAATCAATATTTATTGCACTTTCTAAAAAACCTAATGCAACGGAATGTAAACTACGTCAAACAATCAGCTTGATGAGTCATCTTACAAAACTTCTCTTGAGAATTCTAATGATGAAAGCACGAAGCGAAATCAGATCCAAAATTTCATATGTCCTATATGGTTTTGTAGAGGATTGTGGCCCAAAAACGCTATCCTATGCTACGAATGATCAGTGAACGAGCGATTGAAATGAAAAAAGACTTGTTTACATATTTTGCCGATTACTCTAAAGCTTTTGATAGCATGAAACACGTGAAGCTTATGGAAATAATGGAAAATTTGAACATCGATAGAAAAGACACGAGAGTTATCAAAAACCTCTATTGGGACCAAAGAACAGCAATGAAAGTTGGTAACAAGATGACTAGTTTTATCGAAATAAAGAAATGTGTTGAAGTGTTATATTTTCCCTGTGCTAACTTACGCTCTGAGTCGTGGACAATTCCTAAAATGGAAAAAAAATTAACGCAGTTAAAGATTGAGTTTTGTGGAGGTAGATAGTCATCAATGTCCTGAAAGCTCGTGGCTCTACAAACACTGCTAGGGATCACCGACTCATTTTTTGCCAATTAAGTTAATTAAAAATGAAAGTACATAGTGAAAAAAAATTATTAACGGAGACATACCATCCTTGTTATTTAAGTTAAGTTAATTAAAAATGATAGTACATAGTGAAAAAAAATTATTAATGGAGACATACCATTCCTGTTAGTGGTCATCATATGTCGATAAGGTTTATCATGACGGACATCAAGTTCCCAGAAGTCTTCAGCATTCATTTGCTCTTTCTCTAAATTGCGAACATTCCTTCGTTCTTTCATTGGAATCTAACGGTTATTAAACAATATTCTAAACAACGAATTATAAAATCTGATTTAAAAAAGCGTAAGTAAAAAATATAAGAGCAAACTGACCAACTGATACAAAAACATAAATAGAAGTAAACAATTGAAAAACGTGTCAAAATT